GACAATACGGCAATTTTAACAGGTAAAGAAAGATTGATCTTGAACCATTAAAAACAACAACTGCATTTTCCCCTTATGCTATGGTTTTATCAAAGAGACAGCAGGGTAAAAAGACACACACACACATACACAGACCCCCGAAGAAAATTCACAAAACTTTGGATTAACCCACTGCCACGAACAGTCTAACAACACCTCTAGCTCAGCAAACTCAATTAAATATTGGAGATCTTCAGACCTCTTCTAGCACTGAGCCTAAGATCAGTGACCTTAACACCAGTGCATTGGAGTGCCAGGTGAAGACTCGTAAGGAAATGAGAGCAAACTTTGCAACAAAAGGAAGACAATCTGGTAAAGAATTTCATAGATGAGATAAGCTACTTTGGCAAGTAGAGTAAAAGAAAATCGAAGTCGCCAATCAGCGTGTATACTTGAATATATCAGGTTCCCATGATCTCATATCTGTTGATGATTGACATTACAACCCACCCCTAAAAGTTCATTTTAGACAAAAGTACAAGTAAACTAGCACAGGGGTCTTATAATAATAATAAAGTTGGAAGGAACCTTGGAAGTCATCTAGTCCAACCCTCTGCTCTGGTAGGAAACCCTATGCCATTTCAGACAAATGGCTGTTCAGTCTCTTAAAAACTTCCAGTGTTGGAGCATTCACCGCTTCTGGAGGCAGGTTGTTCCACTGGTTAATTGTTCTAACTGTCAGGAAGTTTCTCCTTAGTTCTAGGTTGCTTCTCTCCTTGATTAGTTTCCATCCATTGCTTCTTGTCCTGCCTTCAGGTGCTTTGGAAAATAGCTTGACTCCCTCTTCTTTGGGGGCAGCCCAAAGAGATATTGGAACATTGCTATCATGTCACCCCTCATCCCCAATCGCAGGTCCATGGACCAGCACCGGACCATGGCATACCAGCAACCAGGCCATGTAAACAATTGGAGCCCCATCCGCTGGGTGCAGGTAGGACACAAAACCACGGCCCCTCTGGTCCACGGAAAAAATATCTTTCTCCACAGAACCAGTCCCTGGTGCTCAAAAGATTGGGGGCCTCTGAACTAGCAAGTGCATGCTTGCAGTAATGTTGAAGTAAATGTTGGTTCCCTTTGAATATCCTTATGGCTGTCTCCATGTGGGAGGAATATTACTCCCAATTATTTATTGCCCCAAGCTGTAGTGGACGAGAAGATCCAATAATAATAATAATGTTCTATTTCCATGCAACTTTAACTGAATGGGAGACTAGGGGACTCATTCAAATTCGGAAGTCCAGCAAGTCTACTGGGGAAAATTTCCCACCCCTATATTATTGAAATGTCACTTTGATGGGTGGGCTCCCATATTTGCAGGTTTATTTATCTGCCAAATTCCATCTTGTTGCCATTTCTCTACAGGTAATCCCCCAGGTACGAATGTTTATTTAGCAAATTTTTACCAAAATGAATTCATTCAGAAAGAGTACTTACGTTAGAAATTCAAAACTGTGAGCAAAAAGAGGCCTGTGTAGCCACGTGACTTGAATTCCATCCCTGCTGCAGCCGTGGCCATTTTGAACTCTCCATTCGGCTTATGAAGCAGGTGGGGGGGTTTTGGAGGGGAGTCCCTGGTCACATGGCCAAACAAGAGCCAAGCCGGCATTTTTTATGTTGGTGCTGGTGAAGAATCTGCTACTGCTTGGGCTTCAGGACTAGGACTGCTTCTGTAAGTATTTTAATTTTGTTGTTGCTGTTGTTACTCTAGAATGCTTGCAAAGTGCTTGTTTGCAAGCACTTTGGAAACTGCTCTTCTTTTTAAGTACTCATTATTGTGTTTCTAAGTACAGTACCGTATATGCCGCCGTATTAGGCGACCGGCGTATAAGATGACCCCCGTCTTTATAGCCGGGCCGCATTCCTAGAACATCGTCTTATACGCCGGAAACTACCAGTATTTCCGGCGTATAAGACGACCCCTGTCTTTGGCACCGATTTCAGCGCTCGCGGAAGTCGTCTTATACGCCGGCATTTACGGTACTTGTAGAAATGCTAGCCAGCCTCCTCACAAAGCATTCTATAATGTTGTGTTTCCTTGCTTTTATTTTGGAGATTAGCATATATTACTGTAGTTTGTAGGTTTTAAATTTAAATTGCCTCCAGAAGTTGTGGGTGCCTCATTACTGAAAGCTTTGAAGAAGAGACTCAATAGGTATTTACCAGAAATACAGTACTCTCTTGTGTGAGAGCAGTGGGTTAGACTAGATCACGGGTGTCAAACTCACCACGTCATGTGACGTGTCATGGCGTATCGTGATTTTTTTTTTTGCATTGCCGGAGCTGGAGTGGGTGTGGCCTCCGCATGATGCAACCGGCCACAGGCCAGCAGTTTGACATCCTTGAACTAGATGATCTCAAGGTCCTTTCCATCTCTGTTACTGTTGCAAGCCAACAGTTCTGTAAACCCCTCCCTCATCTCCCTCTGAGTGCCTGGCTGGAGACTTAAACAAATTAGTGGCAACAACAAAAATCTTTGCAAAAGGAGATGCAGCCTGCTTGCAGGCATTTAGTTCCTGAGTGGAAGCAAACAGCTGATGGGCAGCCAGCAGCAGTGGGAAGGCCTCTCAGTTCAGGTAGAGATCAATTAACAAAGCAGAGGAAATAGTAAGTCAGATCTTTGTTCATTTAACAATCCAGTGACAGGAAAGATCATAAAATGGGGCAAAACCTACTTAAAAACTATCTTGCTTGGCTATGGACTACCAGTATTAATGATATCCCAAGATCCCTCCATTTAACCAATATGCATAACCTCAGAATTAAACATGTACACATATTGCTTTTAGAACCCCAGAATAATTCTACAGTAATCAGCCACTTCAGAATATGCAACCACATCCCGAATTGTTTGGTTTTGCAGCCTACATCTTGGGTTATATAATTATTTTCGCTCAGATTTTTTTAATGAAGTGGTTGAACCTGAAAGAAGAATGCAGCTTTCATTATTTAGACAAAAAGGTTGTTTCAACTGGCCTTAGTGCACAATGACTAGTTATGGTCGTGACTATTGGAGAAATAGTATTAGAGTTGATAATTCCACCAATAGTAGTGTCCAACTAAATGATACTCCCCATCACACACCTTTTCTTGATACTCCCTATCAGTTTTAATGTTCTGAAGTAGTTCTTGAAAATTGTTTATAAATATTAAAAATTAGGTATTTTACATTGCTCAGAGTCTTCATGGAACAGAACTTGCCAGAAGTGGAGAGCTGATTTAATCAGATTTTACAACCATTAATATATCACATACCAAGCATATATTAAGCGTCTGTACAGAGAAACCTGTTCAGCTGTTTCCTTCTCCAACCAGCTACATATAAGTCATTATCTAAAACAGATGTTCCTCTTCAGAACTCAGATTTAGAATGTTTTTGAAATCATTATAGAAATGCAGAATTAGAGGGGGCCATTTAGGTTATCAAGTTCCACACATTTTTTCACTTCAGGGAATACAAAATAAAGCATCTTCAATAGAAGAATGTCTAGTCTCATTTGAGCAGACTGAAGAGAAAACCACCCTCTCTCTGAAGAATTCTTTCCATTATCAAACATTTATTGGTAAGATTGAATTAGAATCTGCCTTCTAAAAATTCAGCCCCACTTTTTCACATGCTGCTCTGTGGTGGTGAACAGGTACTTGAGTATTCTGGCATGATGTAGAAAATAACTAATCAAATGTCATTTGATTTATTTTTTCATCAGGTAAAAATATTTTATTAGGTTAATATATTTGTCTATAATAATGGTACAAAAAACTCATTGAGAATTATTTTGCATATCACTGCTTGATTATTCAGAATGAAATACCTTACGGAAATAATCTTCATGAAGCCACAACCCATAAGCCAAATCTTCAACGCCTTGCAGAAAGAAAGGAGATTGGAGATTATCCTCACCTGGGGAGGGGACAGAGTGTTCCAGAGATCTGGCATTACAGTATAGAAGACTCTTCTCCTGGATCCCTTCAGTCAAGTTCCTTGACCAATGGGATCCTCAGCAAGCTTCCTCTGCCAGCACAAGCAGGGTGGGCTTTTCTTAGCAAGACATGATGGTTCAACATAGATAGGTAGGTGCAGGACCTCACCTAAAGAACCTAGTGTAAGCTGTGAGTACTGCTGCTGTACTGCCTTCCTCACTGCCCAGGACTTTGATCTCCATGCCCTGGTGTTAGCAAATTCATCCAGGCTTCTAAAATGTCAATCTCTAGCCATCATAATGGGGTCTGAGTGACTCAGAAATTCAGGGTCACCAAGACAAAACCAAGAAGTTTCATGATACTCACTCACACTGAGACCAACAAACACTTTGTCTGGTTTTTTTCTTAGCTAACATGTGATCTGAAGATCTAGGACATTCACATCACTCATGCTGAGATCACTTTCCAGATACCAGGAAGCTCACCGCTACCACCCACCTATCTATTTAGATCAGATCATTCAGAAACAACTAGTTTCCAAGAGGCACTTGGGGAAATGTCCCAGAAACCTGGTAGGCCCTTCTGTGGGGAATCTACTCAGTCTCCAGAATACAGGGATAACAAAGGGATCAGGCAGATTATTCCAAAGGGACCACTTTGTTTACAATTTGATTCAGAGGAAGAATCATCAAAGAATTCTGGGAGAAGAATTGCCAGAAAAGACAGCTGGAGCAATATTGGCAAAAATATTTGGGAAGGCTGAAGAGAACATGATGAGGCTATAACCATAGAGGGCTTTAGATGAAGCACAGAAATAGATCCAGTCTAGCTTCAGCTCTAAGTGTGGGATGAAAAAATGCATTGGTTGCTTTCCTGGATGTTCTGCCCAGGGATGTGATGGGAGGCACGCGCCTTCCTTGTCTTCAACCCTTCAAGCATGGCATTTTTTTGGGGGGGGTTATCTATGAAGTTTGCCCTGAGTGGGGAATATGGTCCATAGGAGAAATTTAGTGAAAATGAAAAAGATACTAAAAATAAATGGAAAGTAATATGTTTTATTGGCACCCAAAAGGAAACAAAGATAAAGCATGATAAACTTAGTTAGCACATTTTTCATTGGTTGATATTGTTAGGTATGTTGTGTGAACCCAGCAATAGCTTGAAGAACTTTCAGTATTGAGTATATAGAAGCAAAACACAATATTAAGTGAATAGGTACATAGGAAACATTCATCATACTGAATAGCTACTCTGTAATACTTTTATGCTTTTTATGCTGCTTAATTTTAAGGCTTTCTGGAAATAGCACACAGTTTGAAAGGGTGTGGATGCATTGTCAAATTTATAATAGGGGCTTCATTGAGTTTTTTCACTCCTTCAGGCAACTGGAAGCTGAAGGCCCTCAACAGATTGGTCAGAAAGATGAAGATCTCAATTCTCACCAGCTGCTCTCCCACACATGCACGTTGACCTGTAGATGATAAAAGCATGCAAAAAGGGGATAATAATCAGTTCTCCAGAATATAGCCCCTTGGCAAGGAAACATGAGAGAAGATTTGTAACAGATGAAACACAGTTCCCTGTTGAATCTTGGTATCTTCTAGTATTGCTTATTACTAGATTGTCATTTAGTACATAGGAACAGCTTTTCGAGACAATGCTTTGAATCTATTGGTGTGGTTAGCCATTGGTCAAACTGCTTTGTTAAAGCAATTTATTAGGCGTGGTGGCACAGACTTCAGAATAACACAGTGATGGGGGTGACAGGAATCTATAAGTGATAAGCTGCTTTGGGCTCATGGATGTACCTATTCCGAAGGGCAGAAACGCTTCTCGTTCAGTGAACTTCCCATCCTTATCTAAAAAGTGATTTGGGTTGAATTCTTCAGGTGTCTCCCATTGTTCAGGGTCAAGAAGAACAGAGCGCAGGTCTGGGAAAATCATGGTCCTCTGCAAACAAAGAGATGATTAAACAGAGCAGTTTCATAAGGGAAACAGGCAAAAATGTTCAAACCAATATTGATGAAAACATTTGGTTTTAGCATGTCTTGATAGACCAGTGGTTCTCAACCTTTCTAATGCCGTGACCCCATAATACAGTTCCCCATGTTGTAATGACCCCCAACCACTTATACATCACCAGGTGCCAGGGGCGTGGCCAAAGAAAAGGGGAAAAAATGACGGACAGCCTTGTTTGGCGACCCCCGTGAAATGGTCATTCGACCCCAAATGGGGTCCCGACCCACAGGTTGAGAACCACTGTGATAGACCCACATTTGTTCATTTCCAAAGCAGTTTCTGAGAGCAGTGGCTGTTCTTAGCATTTCTCACCTTTGGAATAAGGTAACCCCTCAACTTCACATCTTTTGTACTTTGTCTGGAAACCCCAACTAGAAAGATACTTTTTAAACGCTGCATTTCATGAATCACGGCATTGGTGTAGGGCAGCTTCTTCCGATCCTGATAGGAAATTGAGGCCGAGGAACTAAAGGCTTCTTCAATCTCCTTCTGGACTTTCTCTAGAAAAAAAATGATAGAAAAAGAAGCTTCATTTTCAATATTGTGTTTCCTTTGTTTCCAAATTTTAATCCTTAACAGAAGTTTAGGACATAGAACAGCCTTTAGGGCATTAAATGTAATCCCATCCTTTTTAAAAAATATTGTGAGGGAGAGCAGATTGAATATGTGTTTCCTGGGCTCTGATCATATCCAATCCAAAAAGGTTCAGAATATTGATGCAAACCTTGGAATCAAGTTCAAATATTCCACTGAATCTTCTTCAATCTAGTCCATCTCCAGAATTCAATTCCAAACCAATTTGGCAATTTGCTTCAGTTTAAAAGAAAGATCTATAATTATCTTGAAAATCATGTGGATCAAAGTTTTGCAAAGCACTCTTTATTTATTTTTTAGTATTTTTTAAGTGATTAAATTTATATGCCACCCATCTCACTGTTATAGTGACTCTGGAGGGGAGGCTTACAATATGATAAAAAGGTAAAAAACATAGCACAGAACAATTAAAATGAAGAGGACTAAATAAACTGAAAACTCAGAGGATGGGTAACATGGAGGTGGAGATCTTCTTTCTACCCTGCCAGTCACTCCCAAAATAGCGCTCCTCTATCAGGTTCCCTGGGCAATTGGCAGAGCGAGGTTTTAAGACTCTTCCTGAAGATCCACAGGGTATAAGGGTGGACCTCACCTCCAGGAGGAGAATATTCTCTAGACAACAGGTCGGCAACCTTTGAGCCTTCCCCTATGACTCCCAGCCTCCTCTGCCATTTGCAGAGAGAGACAGAGACAGAGAGAGGCACTTGCACTCTCTCTCTCTCTCTCTCTCTCTCTCTCTCTCTCTCTCTCTCTCTCTCTCTCTCTCTCTCTCTCTCTGTGTGTGTGTGTGTGTGTGTGTGTGTGTGACGAGCTGAAAAGCTTATTTGGGCGGAACTCCTCCCTTTGCTGCATCACTGCAGGAAGCAAGAAGTAGGAAGCAGGCGAGAGCTAACTAGCCCAGCTATGCTGGCTCAGGAAGTCCATGAGTCATAAAAGAGCTGAGGTTGCCTACCCCAGAGCTTGTTGGAGAAGAGCTTGAAGCCAGCTTGCCAGGTGAACAGAAGATCGGAGAAAGGGAGAGGGGGGGAGAGAAAGAGAGAGAGAGGGAGAGAGAGAGAGAGAGAGAGAGAGAGAAACGGGGAGAGGGAGAGGAAAGAGAGAGGGGGAAAGGAAAGAGAGAAAGAAAAAGAAAGAAAAAGAGAAAGGGAGAGAGAGGGAGGGAGGAAAAGAGACAGAGAGAGACCCTTTGGACATCTAAAATGAAGATAACACTGCATATATCCTTTTTTACCTTTATTATAGTGTGTGTATATATGTATGTATGTGTGTGTGTGTGTGTGTATATATGTGTGTATGTGTGTATGTGTATGTATGTGTGTGTACACACACACACACACAAACAAAATAAAGGTAAAAAAGGATATATGCAGTGTTATCTTCATTTTAGATATCAAAAGGGTTTGCGGCTCCCAGTGTTTTGTTTTCGGTGGGAAACGGGTCCAAGTGGCTCCTTCAGTGTTTTGGGTTGCCTACCCCTGCTCTAGACAGTGGGGGCCACAGCAGAATAACCACTTCTCCTGAACACTTCCAGCTGAAATTCTTTAGCAGTCAGTATCTGGGACAGGCTTCTAAAAATTTATATCCTTAAGTTTCAAAGATAATTTCCACAGTGGTTTCCAGCTTCTTTAGTTTGGCTCAGAAAAACCAACTCCTCCCCTCCTTACCATCTTAAAGTCACAGAGCTTCAGAAATGACAATAGTTCAGCAAAAAGGAAACAACAAGTTGCAACTAGAGAAAGCCTCTCTTGGCAAGAAAGGTAAATATATAGAAATTTTAGTGTCTAAGAACCGGTGGCATCCTTTATTGTTTATTTAAATGATAACATAAGATAAGAGATAACCTTTACTGTCATTTTTTTTATTGTGGGCACAACAGCACACATCAAAAATAAAATTTAGTTGCCCACTCTCAAAGTGAAACACATACATGACACATACCTAAACATACTATGAACAATATATGTACAGACCCATATCCCTACATATACGTAGCAAATAAATATTAAATACTGTCCATCTTGAATACGTAACGGAAGAGTTCACAAGGTTAATGCTGTATGGAATGAAACTATGGCTAGATGTTCTGCTACAGATACCACGAATCCTCCTTCCAGAAGGGAATGAAGAAAACAGGTCGTAAAGAGGATGTGTCATGTCCCAGATAATCTTACGGACCCTGCTCAAGCAACGCTTCTGTGCTATGTCCTGGATGGAAGGGAGGGAACTGCCAATGATCTTTTCAGCCATTCTCACCACTCTCTGCACCGCCTTCCTGTCTGAAGCAGTGATTCCCCCACACCAGACTGTGATGCTGTATGACAGGATGCTCTCGATTGTCCCCCTGTAGAAAGTAGTCAGGACAGGGGAAGGAAGATGTGCTTTTCTCATGAAATGCAGAAAATGCAGGCGCTGCTGTGCCCACTTCACCAGTTTCTCACTGTTGAGTGACCAAATCAGCCTACTCACCCAAGAATTTGATGCTGGTAACCATCTCCACGGTGAATCATTAATGCACAGAGAAGTTTGGCTGTGCCTGCCTTTTCTGAAATCAACAATGATCTTTTTGGTTTTTCTGATATTTAAAACTAGACTGTTTTCCTTACACCAGTTCATCCATCCCTCAACCTCCTTGTGGTAAGCTTCCACCTTGTCATCCTGAATAAGGCCCACTACTGTTGTATCATCTGCGAACTTCACAATATGGTTGGTGGCAAATCTAGCACAACAGTCATGGGTCAACAGGGTGAACAGCAGCGGACTTAAGACGCAGCCCTGAGGAGAACCTGTGCTCAAGAAAATGATATTAGAGGTATTTGTTCCAACTCGCACATATTGGGGCCTGTTGGTAAGAAAATCAAGAATCCAGTTGCACAAAGGAGCGTTTAAGCCTAAAAGGCCCATTTTGTCTACTAGATGCTGGGGAATGATTGTGTTAAACACCGAATTGAAGTCGACAAACAACAAACACACATGAGTATTTCTTTCCTCTAAGTGCTTCAGGCTCAGATGGAGAACGGAAGGAATAACATCTTCCGTAGAGCGATTTGGTCAGTAGGCAAACTGAAGTGGGTCAAATGCTGGTGGGAGGCTAGATACAATAGTGTCGTTTGTCAGCTTCTCAAAGCATTTCATGATGGTGGATGTCAGTGCAACTGGATGGTAATCATTGAGGCCTGTAATTGTGGACTTTTTTTGGCACTGGCAAGATGATGGCCATCTTAAAACACAATGGGACCACAGAAGTTGAAAATATCTGTGAGAACACAAGCCAGCTCCTCTGCGCATTCCCTGAGGACACATCCCAGGATGTTATCTGGGCCTGCTGCTTTCCGAATGTTAACTGTCTGCAGTGTTTTTCGGACAGAGGTAACATCAAAGCTTGGCACTTGCTCATCAGGATGGGGCACAGCTTTCCTAGCAGGAGTGCTATTTGATGCCTCAAATCTACCAAAAAATGCATTCAGTTTGTTTAGAAAGTCTGTCATCCTTGCATCTCGATGGAGCCACCTTGTAATCCATAATGGACTGGATCCCTTGCCACATTCGTCTGGTGTTTGTTGGGTCCTGAAAAAAGTTCTGAATGTTCTGGCAATGGGCTTGCTTTGCACCTTTTATGGCATTTTCAGATTTGCTCTGGCTGTTCTAAGTGCCAGCATGTCACCAGATTTAAAAGCCACATTTCATGCTTTCATGCTGGTTCTTCCATAATGAACTTGCATGGTCGCTCCGCCCCAGCCAGGGACTCACCCAATTACTTCTTCAAGAAGCAGTCTGAGAGCATTTGGCTACTAAGAAGAGCAAAAGTTTCCCCTTTCTCAGGGAAGTTTCTTCTAGTTTAGAAACCATTATAAGCTTAAAACTGTGGAGAATATAAAGAACTGTATGAGATCTAATTGGCCAGGAGCCCTTTCCAGTGGAAGTCATGAAGTCCATACTGGTGATTGACTTTGTGGGATCTCTTTTGTTCCTTTGCTTTTAAAACAAAGGACTGTTTAAATAGGGCTTACAGTTTGCTGTGAGAAGAGAATGAAACAGCTCCAATTTTATTGGCTTTTGATTGGTCTAGACCCATGGTTGTGAACCTATGGCATACATGCCACAGGCGGCCTGCAGAGCCATCCCTGTGGGCACGCGCACCATTGCCACAGAGGTGTCAAGCCCCAAGGGGCTTGCCATTCGGTGGGGGGGGATGAGCAAACCATCCCACCCCCACCAACTTGCCTCGCCGACCGTACCGGAGCCAGCTTGCCACGACCCCCCAGCCAGCTGGAAACGGAGGAACGACCGGCAGCCTCTCACCCCCTCCCGGACGCCATAGGAGGCACCGCTGCTGCTGCCAGGCATCCCGCCGACCAGCTGGGAGGCGGGGAACGCCCAGCAGCGTCGGACGGTGTTTGGGCTTTCCCCGCAGCCTCGGCTTTCCTCGCAGCTTCGGAAGACGGCCCACAGCTTCCCGGTGACCGAGCAGGAGCAGCGGAACGGCAGACGGCAATGCCGGGGGGCGTGCATCCTCCCCCCGATGCTGCGGAGGGCACAGACACTGGGCCGGCACACCTCTCCAGACAACACTGTGGCCTCAGCGTGGGCATAGAGAGGGAGGAAGCACACATGACCAATGGACTGGCCAGAAAGGACCGGCCAGCGGCTAGACCGATAGACTTACCGTTCCAACTGGAGGCAGCAAACATGGGGCGGCCACAACAGGCGGGCGGACGCTGGACCGCAGGGGTTGGGGCTGCATGGGAAGAGGGGTTGGAGCACAAGGGTGGGGTTATAAGAATAATTAACTGGATGGTGGTTTGTGGGCGGAGGGTGGGGGTGTGGGCGTGGACACACTATAAGGAGCTCTGGGGAGAAGCTATTCCCAGTGCTGACTTTGTCAGTTAGTGAATAAAGAATTGCTAAC